CGTATCCCTTTTCCCATGTGTGAAATGATTGTATAGTTCCTGGGGAGGGGGAGTGAATGGAATGTGAGTGTTTGGAGAGAAAACAACTTGTAAGCCCAATAGTTTCAGAGTCCAGATTGTGGAAGAAGGGAGGTGAGGGGGGAGGCTGGAAAACTCAGAGGCGTCAAGGTACCATAAATTAGGCACAATACAAAGCAGATCAATGGAGGACATATGGACGGCCTTGGAGTGTTAAGAAACAAGCGCTGTTACAAACAAGACAGCCTTGAAATAACACTGGGAAGGAGACACCAACATACTTATGTCAGAGTAAAGAGTAACTCCCAGATAAACAGATATTAAGCAGAATGGGAGAAAAGTCCTATAAAAGACGGAGCATCTTGCATGAATCTCTGGGTCTCGTCTTGTCAACATCAGGTCATCAGTCCAGACCGAGAGAAGACCTCACTCCTCCCCCTCACATTTAACTTGACTTACTAGCCAAGCAATGTGAGCAACAGACTAGTAACTTTAAGCAACGGGGGACTTGGCTTATAAAGCATATGCTAACTGTTTTTTTACTATAGTCTCAATAAATGTGGCATATTGCCTTTTCCCCTGAAAAGATCCTGTGTGCTACTTATAAGCATAATAGTGGAAGAGTGAAAGGGTAACCCCTCTAACAGATTCCTGGGGGCTCAACTTTGTCACCATGTAGGATAAAGGCAAGGGTTTCCCTGCTCTGGGATGCTGTATCCATGTTAGAAGCTTCCTTAACCCACTGGAATTGTCAAGAGCAATCATGACACGCCAACCTGACAACTTCCTTTGACAGGGTAATAAGTCTCATGGACAGGGGAGAAGCCATAGATGTGGTGTATCTAGATTTTAGTAAAGCACTTGATAGTCTCCCATTAAGGGAACATCTACACAGCATGCTTATTTCAAAATAAGCTACAGTGAAACCTTTGTTATCCGGCACTCTGTTAACCAGAAAACTTTGTTAAACAGCATTGCCCCCAGCCACAATGCTGTCACATCTTCAGGCGCACAGGCTTGGTTGTTTTACCATGATTGACTTAGCAATTTTTTATTTAAGAAGTACTAATCATCTTTAACTCAAAATAGAAATGTGAGACCAACTGCCTCACACTTCAAAACTACCAATATTAAAAAGTTGAGTTTTATTTACTATTATTGTCCATTGGTTTTTCCTACGTTGATGGGACCCTCAGATAACCAGAGTTTTTAGATAACTGGAACGCCCTAATCCCCGAGCATGCCAGATAACACAGGTTTTACTGTATTTCGAAAAAAAAAATTAAAAATAGCTTATTTCAAAATAGCACGTCCACGCTACAGGGAAGTCTTAAAATTAGTCCGAGGCAGGCTCTTCTAATGTGAATGTGCTATCTTGATTTAGAGCCCCAGGAAGCACTAGGGAATAATTACTTTCAATGACCCGAGGGAGGAGCTATTATGAAATAGCAGTGGAGCCTCCACACTACTGCTATTCCAAAATAGCTATTTTAAAAGAGGCGGTATTCCTCGTGTAATGAGGTTTACAGATTTTTAAATAGGCCATTCGTTATTTCAAATTTATTTCAAAATAACAGAATTGCTGTGCAGAAGCTTGCATTGTTATTTCTAAATAATGCTGCTGTGTAGACGCACCCTAACAAATTGGAGAAATACAATCTAGATGGAGCTACTGTGAGGTTGCATAACTGGTTGGAGAGTAGGTGGTTAAACACTGGAATAAATTGCTTCCGGAGAGTGTGGAATCTCCCTCCATCACTGGAGATATTTAAGAGCAGGTTAGACAAACATCTGTCAGGGATAGTCTAGATGATGCTTGGTCTCTCGAGGTCCCTTCCAGTTCTATGATTCTATGACTCCATACAGCTCAAAGTAAGGGCCATTTAATAAAATAGCAATAAATTTAAGAAAATAAGGGAAAATGAGAAAGGTTAAAAGAACACATACAGCCCTGCTCTGTGGCATGGGGACATCACACCCACCTCTGCAATGCATGGCAAATTCACAGTCTGTTCTTCATATGTCCCGGGACTTCCTCCCAGTCCTCGGCTCTGTTGCAAGTGGACAATTGCTCTGGTAGTGCCCACAGGCTTTCAGGTGCTAGGAGATAGGAACCTTTTCCCCAGTGGTGGCACCCCCCTCCAAGGCTACCTCTACACTATGATCCTCGTCCGCAAGAGAAAATGCAAATGGAGCGCTCATTTGCATATGTCGCACTCTCATGTGCATTTCCTCTTCCTTTCCCTTTTGCGCAAGAGGTTTTTGTGCAAAAAAGTGCTGTGTAGACCCCTTTTGTGCAAGAGCCGTTCTTCCTCAAAACAATGCTCCCAGCACTGTCCTGCTGCCTGGCTGCTACTGTCTCTTTCTGGCTGGCCCAGCTCTGCTCTCCAGCTCAGCTAGGTTCCTGCTCTCTCCCCCCCCATTCTGCCTGACTCAGGCAATTGCCGCTCATTTGAGGGACAGGACCCCTATTCTTGCTTCCTGGCTCCTTCATTAGCTTGCCTGCCTTGTCCATCATGCTAACCTGCAGTCTTGGCCTCTCCCCATTGTCCCTGGGGACTGTCCGTCTCAGGGCCCTGATATCTCATGGGCCCTTCCCCTTTTGGTACTGGCAGCTGGCCAACCAAAAACTCCCACTGAGTTTTAGTAAGGGGCTAACAGTCCCCTTACATACAAAATTCTCATATCTGAGTATCTAAGGTAGATTTTCTACAGCAGAGCCCCATTGGGCCAGATCAGATCATCAAACATCCCCGATAATCAGGAGAACGGGGAAGTGGGAGTCTGCAGCGTCATCTAGTGGCCGTAGGCAGAGTTGCTGGTTGGTGGGTTCACATGGAAAGCAGCACAATGGAAGGGTGGAAGAACAGGGCTCTACTGCACCCTCGCCCCCAACATCTGTACTGACTCCCCCAGCATCTGTACTGACTAAGCGATAGGACACCTCCTATTATACATTGCTGCTGGCAACACCCTCACACAGCTCCTCAGCTGTCTCTACCATGGGGCAGAGAGGAGAAGATTTGTTACACCCAACTCACAGAGGGAGAAACAAAGGCTGAGAAAGGCAAAGGGCCTTGTCTCACACCACACAGCCAGTCCGGGCCAGCACTGGGAACAGGACCCAGAAGGCCTGACTTTCAAACTCACCATCAGTTTGGAGTTTCACCCACTAAGGCTACATCTATACTGTAGGCTTTTTGTGCAAGAACAGTTGTTCTTGAGCAAAAACTTGCACAGCGTCTACACTGCACGCGCGTTCTTGTGTAAGTAAATTTACAGTACAGCGTTGGAAAACAGGGCTTCTTCTGGAATAGTTATTCCTCTCCCCACAAGGAAGAAGCCCTCTTGTGCAAGAGCTCTTCCACAAGAAGGCAGGGTAGACAGGCAATAGGAATTTCTTGCGCAAGAAACCCCTATGGCTAAAATGGCCATCAGAGCTTTCTTGCACAAGAGAGCGTCCACATTGACATGGATGCTCTTGTGCAAAAGCACATGGCAGTGTGGACGCACTCTTGTGGAAGACCTTTTGCAGAAGAACTCTTGTGCAAAACAGTTCTTGCCCAAGAAGCCTGCAGTGTAGACATAGCCTAACTGATCAGAATAAAGTGTCTCAAACGAGCTACAGACACACAGCCCTTCCTAGTGACTGTTCAGCCAGTAGTTTAGAAGTATGAGACTAGATCATCCCTGATAGATGTCGCTCTCAAAACAGGAGCTAACAGGAGAGGGGTTTGAACAACAAACAAACACCCATTGGATCTTAAGTCCAACACCGTAACCACTCAGCCATACTGGTGGCATGGGGAAGAGCAGAAGTGTGAAAGTTCTTTCCCCAAATGTCCCATGGGAACAGACTCGCTCTCAGAGCATCTGCCTGTCCCATCTCTGTGTAGGAGCTTCCCACCATGAGGTCTAGAGAGCAGCCCCCTCCCCGCCTATGAGGAGAGAAGCAGGGAAAAGGGAAACCAAAAAAGACAAGACCCAGTGTCCCCAGGAATTCTAAGGGACAAAGGCCTGGTGGGAAAAATATCCCCCACCTTAACTAGTGTTTTCCCTGCTTTGCATTTGGCCAGCCTCCAGTGCATCAAGCCAGTGTTTTCCAAACTTTTTTATATGGTGGACTGCCAAACCCATTCACAAACTTTCTGGCAGACCAGTAACATTTTATTTACATACGTGTATATTCATGATGCAAATCATGCTTATGAAAGTATGCAAATAAAATGTTACCAGAACCTAACAGATCAGCATTTGCAAATATCTGCACTAAACAACATTCACAGAAAAAATTCCTCTCTGGCTGCTGGATGGGGGCAGCCTCTCCCTAGGGGTGCTTGCAGATGGAGGGGCGCAGGGAGAGGCACCTACAGGGACAAGGGGCAGGGAGCATTTGGAGCACCCTATTTAGAAACTTTAGAAATTTTATCAGGGGCATAGGAGCTGGTGCCTCCAAGTGCTACCATCAGTAGTAACCTTTGCCCTCCGCCCCTCCTGCCCGATGGGGTGACGGAGCTGCCATCGTCTCTGCCCCATTTCCTTCTGTACAGCCCCTGCCCTGTGTCTCTCCCTTCCCCAGCCAGACTGCTCTTCCTCCCCCAGTCCTCCCCCCCCCCCCCCCCCCCCCCCCCCCCACCCACCCCCTTCA